GCTGGCTGGTCTTGAGCTCACTTTGTAACCCAGGTTGGTCTAGAACTCGCAACAATCCTCCTACCTCAGTCTCCCAAGTGCTGGGATTACAGGCATGCCCAACCACACCTAGATATTTTTTTTTATTTATGTCTTGAGTTTTTCAAGAAAGAGAAACCATTCAATGTATACACTTGTGCATATGACTTACATTATTTAACCTTATTTTCTCAAGATACACTATTTTCCTAGGAGTTATTCAAGCTTGTCCTTCTTTATGGAAAAATTATTACTTTTTTACACATTAATACCACATTTTCTTAATCCATTCATCTATTGATGGATGTATAGACAGCTTCCAGGATTTGCTGTTGGGTTGCCTGTGTCACTCTCATATTGTGTCTTTAATGCTTTCAGGAAGATACCCAGAAGGGGAAAGCTATGTCAAGTGGAATTTCTACTTTGTGTTTTGAGGAAACTCCATTCTGATTTCCCTAATTGTAGTGCTAGTTTACCTGCCCAGCACACTGTCGATGAGTTTCTCCTCACAGCATGACCAGCATTTGCTATGATTTGATTTCTTGATGCTAGCTATTGTCTCTGGAGTAAGATGGAATCTCAGTGTTGTTTGCATTTGCATTTCTCTAACGGGCAGGGATGATGAATGCTGTTTATGTCATTATTGAGTATTTGTATTTCTTCTTCTAGAATGTATCTGTTCATTTTGGTGGCCCATTTTTTTATTTGGATCTTTTATTCTGGGGGTTTATTTTTTCTGAGTTATTTACATGATCCTGATATTCACCCTCAGCCCAAGATGTAGCTGGCAACTATTGTTTTCCCATTCTGTAGCCTGTCTCTTCAGTCTGTTGTTTGCTTTCTTTGTTGTGTGGAAGCTTTTTAATTTGATACGATCCCATTTGTTGATTTTTGGTATTTTTCTTGTGTGATTGACCTTCTGTTACAAAAATCCGTGCCTGTATCTATTATAGCAAGAGTTTTCCCTTCCAGTAGATTAAAGGTTTATGTTTTAACATTCATCTCTTTGGTCCATTTTGATTTTATCTTAGTACATGTGAGAGACGTCAGTATAGATTCAGTCTTTGTAAGTGGGTAGTCAGTTTTCCCATCATCATTGGTTAAAGAGTCTATCCTTAGTTCAATTTAAGTTTTTAACCTTTTGTCAAAGATTAGGCAACTGATCATGCCTGGAGGTGATTCTGGGTCCTCTGTTCTGTTCCATTAATCCACATACCTCTTTTCTCTGCCATCCCGTGGAGTTCTACCACCAGCTGTACAGTATAACTTGAAAGCTGCAATTGTGATACCTTTTGCTTTGCTCTTGTTATCTGGGATTGCTTTTGTAAGCCTCTCCTGGTTCCATATGAATTGTTAGATTGTTTTCTCTTGTTCTGTGAGAAATAGTATTGACATTTTGATTGGCAATTCATTAAAATGGTTTTTAATGAAGTTTTGGAAGTACACTCATTTTGACTACATCGGTTCTAACTACCCAGCTGTGCAGCACAGGATTTCTCATGACGTTTGTGTGTTGACTTTGGGTCCTGCTATGCTGATGAAATTGGTTATCAATGCTAGGAATCATTTGGTGGAATTTTGATTCTTCTATATAATCGTTTCATCTTCAAATAATGATAAATTGAGTTCTTCTTTTCCTATATATTTATATTTTCTACATTGCTTGATTGGTGCAGCTAAAGTTTTGAGAATTACATTGAACAGGAGTAGATAGCAGACATCCTTGACTTGTTCCTGATTTTAGAAGAAAGTTTTCAGTTTCTCCCCATTTAATGTGATGCTGCCATTGGCTTCCATAAGCAGTTTTTATCAGATTGAGGTAAGATTCTTCTATTCATATTTCCTGTAGGGATTTTATATTTAATAATGGACATTTTATTTTGCCAAAGACTTTCTCTGTATCAAGGATGATCATATTTTTCTATCTTGTTTCTGTTTCTGAGATGTTTTATATTTATTGATTTGCATATGTGAACCATCCCTGCATCCCTGAGATAAATCCTACTTGGTCCGGATGGATGATCTTTTTAATGGTTTATTGCATTTTTTTTACCAATATCTTCTAAGGATTTTTGTGTCTCTCTTCATTAAATAGATTAATCTATGGTTTTCTTTTTTGGCTGGATTCTTTTCTAGATTTGGGATCAGAATAATAGTGGTTTTTAAGAATGATTTTGAGGGTACTCCTGCACTTTCAATTTCAATAAGCAGTTTGAAGAGTATTGGGATTTACTCTTTCCTAGAGTTCTTGCCTAATCTGGCAGTGAATCCATTGGGACCTGGGCTTTTCTTAGTAGGTAGTTTTTAAATTACTTCTTCAATTCCATTTCCTGTTACTGGATTGTTCAAATTTGTTAAGTTCTTTGTTTGGTTTTGTGGATTCATATGTATTTAGTTACTCCCCCCATTTCCTCTAAATTCTCTAATTTATTAGAATACAGTTTCTCAAATTAGTTACTCAGTCTTCTGGATTTCAGCAGTGCCTATTGTGATTTCATGTTTTTCATTTCTAATTGCATGGATCTGTGTCTTTAAAAAAAAAGATTTACAACTCTTGTTGCACAGGTCCTGCTTTACCTTGGTCTTAACCATCCAGTAGAAAAGTATGAAGACGAAATATAGGAAGTAAAGCCATGCTGTTATGTTGAGCTGTGGGGGACTCAGGTCAATAATTTCTGACATTGCCAGTTAAACAGAAGACCCAATGCTATTATGGGCTACTGGACTCTTTTAGAATATTTTGCTGACTTTACACACCTATAATATTCAACAACGGAACTTAGAAAAAATGGGGTATACAGATGAATGTCCATTTTGTATCTGTGTATTCAAAGTAGTTAGGATAGATATATAGTTGCATTCTCTTAATGAATAGAGTGATTTGTTCTAATGGTGTTTGTAAATAGGATCTCAAGTCCACATCTTGTACAGCAATTAACCACTGGGAAGAATATATGCAGTGTGTTATTTGTTGAAACTGTACTTCCGATTTGATTTGAAACTGTCTCATTGGTATCTGTTTATCAATAAAATTTTGAAAGAAAAATAAATAAAAAATAAAAAAAGATTGCTTAGGACTTGTTTATGTTGTTCACTCTTTCAAAGAACTAGGATTTCAGTTAACTGGGAATCTTTTATATTTTTTAGTCTCAATTTCATTAATTTCTGCTCTATTTTTATAACTTTCTTCTTTGTCCTAGCTTTGATTTGAACTGTTATTATTTCTGAGGTATGTAATTAGATTATTTATTTGGACTTGCTCTGTTTTGTGACATGGGCACTCAAAGCTGTAAGCTTCCCTCTTTTAACTGCCTAGTTTCTATAGATTCTGTCCTGTTGTGCTGGCATTATCATTTGGTTATAGGAACTATCTCATGTTTTTCCCTGATATTTTTTCCTTTGACCCAGTGTTTATTCAAGATTGTTTTTTAAATTTCCATGGGTCAGCACATTGTTTCTTTTGCAATAGATTTCTAGTTTCATTGCAGTATGATCTGATAAGATACGCGTGATAATATTGGTTGTTAAGCTTACTAGCCTGTGGGAGAGAGACACATGTGCTGGTAAGAAGATGATATTCTATTGTCTTGAGCTGAAACACTATAGATATTTACTAAGGCCATTTGTTTCTTATTGTTCTCCCATTATTTTGCTATAAAATTTTGTCTTATTTTGTCATAGAATAAGAACAGTGTTTTTATATTTTCTTTATTAATATCTATTTGTACTGTATTACATTAAAATTTTAAAAGTTTGGCTCAATTCAGATATTTCTTTGTTGACTTTTTTTTTATCTAATTGATTTCCGTGGCAAATCGACTGTTCAATTTGGCAAACTTCTTAAAAATTGCTATGCTTTAATATGAGAAAGTATGTAACATTAAGAATAATGCAGAATAGATATTTAGAAATAAACTATGTTTCAAAAAATACACAAGGAGATGCAAACTACAGAAGTGGGGGTCGCTTTCCAGTGACTCCTTCATAAGTGTTGCTGAGCTACACAGAGAAAGCACAGTAAGTTGTTGGAATGAAGTCAAAATGAGATCGGGATACTTTCTTTACGAGTAGTAGAAGAGTGGGGGCTGTTAAGCTATCATTTTCCTCAAGAAGAATGTACAAACAGTGAAACAAAGACATAGCCACTAGTAGGAAGGTTTTTAAAATTTTTTATTCATTTTAATGGGCAAAAAGTTATCTCTATAATAGCAATGAAACAGTTTCAAAAAATGTTAGTAAGACAGTTACAGTAATTAATACGTTGCATATTGCTGTCTTCATGTTAGTTATTCGGAGGACAAGATGCGGACATGATATCTTGTCTAAACAATATTAGTATAAACCTTTCATCTCATTGAACTAAGAGAAAGTAGCTGTATATCTATCCTATCATATATATTTTTTTCCCACAAAGCGGCCCTTTATTTGTATCCCTTTTTTGTTTTGGCTTGCGAGAGATAGGTGCTCCATTGCTGTTCAGTAGGAAGTTTTTGGCTGTGGTTTGCATAAACCTGTTTTGATCTTGTTATAACGTAAATTCCATCATTTCTCTTCAGCTCAATCACCCTGCTGCTTCAATGGTGAATATTCAGGGGAATATTAATTCCCAGGCTTTGTACAGAGCAGAACCTCCTGAAGAGTTAAGTTTCAGGAACCAATGTAAACCTCAGTACAGGTTTCAGATTCAGCTGTGCAAATAAAATGCGACCTCAGAGCACAATGGCGATGAGTGTTGCAATCCCGGCGCGGAAGGCTTCTCGGCGCACTCTGAGTATGTGGTCTCATCTTGTGCCCAGAAAGAATATACTTACTAGTAATACACAAAATCAACATTATTTCTTCTTTTTTGTCATTTGTCATCTGTGAAGAATGTCCAGAGGTTGCTTTTATATTTAATCAGTAGAAAACAATTCATTTGAAGGTTGATCTTTTCAGAAGGAGGTTTTAAAATATCACTGTATGCTCATAAAAAGTATCTTTAGCTTTCAGCCTCTGAAAGAACAAAATCAAAACTGCTTGACCAAGTTTATTGGCTGGAGGAAAAACTAGAAGCTGTGGATCTTAAGGAAACCAGTAAGGTACCATATGAAGAAATAGTTCTTATGAAAGACCAGGTATGTGCTGGAGGAAAAAATAATCTTTCTTTTAAAAGTTACATAACCTTGTATGAACTGACCTGTCTACAAAGTCATTTCTGGCCATGTTGATAATTCATATTTAAGGTCATGATAGTAAATATTAATATTTATATTTTCTAAAATTAATTTTATTCCCTAATGAATATTGGTACAAAATTTATTCAGCTATATTTTTAAGATTTTTGTATGTATCTTTTTGAATAATGAGTTAAATATTTTATCTTATAAATCATATTGACTACACAAATGTTTCTTCAGTTCAAAGTTGAATCTAAGGGCTGGTGAGATAGCTCAGTGGACTAAGTGTCTGGTTAGGTAAACACAGAGACCAGGGTTCAATCTCCAGCACCACATGCCACACTGGCCCTGCCCTGCGTATGTTGAGCCAGCCACCGAGACCAGGAGTGGTGGCACATGCCTGTAATACCTGCCCTGGGGAGGCTGAAAACAGGAGGATCACTACAAGTCCAAGCTGCGTAGTGAGACCTTGTACCAAATACATTTTAAAAAATTGAATCTAATCGGAAAATAGTTTCTGTGTAGTAAAACAAGTAGATAATAAAACTTTGGCATATGTTTTCATTCAATTACTTTATAAGAAACATTTAAGCTCTGGATCTTTAGACATTTTCTCTGTACCATGACATAAATTTACTTCTTATTCAACCCAAAGGATTTGTATCAGATTTTAAAACATATGAATATGTTTATATTTGAGGGTATGTGTGTGTGTGTGAGAGAGAGAGACAAACAGAGAGACAGAGATAGAGACAGAGACAGAGAGACAGAGAGAGAGAGAGGAGATATGTTAACATTAACTTTAGTGCATTATGCTAACATCATTTTCCTCAAGTATATCCTAGTTCTTAATATACTTGTGTGTTTTGCCCTAGGCTCTTCCATAGATTGGAAGAGGAACAGGGTGGGGAGAAGATGTTCTCTCCAATGATGATTTTCAGAGAATCTAGCTGTGATAACACTGTCATTGATGTGATTTGATGCATATTCAGATGAATATGTAAAAGGAAGAGTGATACATTTGATTTTAACTTTTCTCACTTTTAGCATATTGAGAAGCTGCAAGCTGAAGTAAAGGCTTCCCAGAAACAACTTAAAGTCCATGTAAGTGTTTTTCTTCTTTTTAATCCCTTTATTTATATCATTGCCATCATAAAAAATGAACAGAATTTTTCCAAAACTTAAAAATGAGGAGATTTTGCTACCAACCAAATTTTTGCTAACAATCAAAGTGACAAACTAAGTTCTCATATAAAATCAGATGGATGCATCAGGTCTATCCTGATGGCCTGTCAGAATGAGAGAAGTAAGCTAAGGGTACTGACTGACACCAGATTGGTTTACTGGGTAAAGAAAGTGGTGAGGCATGCCAACTAGTGACACAGCAAATAGAGGTCCAGATCTTCAGCATATGTAAAAATCACCTAGAAAGTCTCATAAAAGTTCCTCAGAAATTTGGTTTCCTAGATGTTCAGTATGGATGCTGAGATTTTGTGCATGGATGTGATTCTCGAGTCCAGTGATGCCAGCGCTTCTGTGATGCCCACAGGTCACACTTTGAGTGGCATGTTGTATACATTCTTTCTTCCCCAATCTTGTAAGTTTTAGGCAAGTGATCATTTAAATCCATCAGAGTGCATGGTTGTCCATTTTCTCCTATAAGTACTCACCTGAGTGACACATCATGCACTTCCAGGGCAAATTTCCTTCTTACTGTAGCCCTGTTCCCTTAGGGAAGTACCAATGAGCATCTCCTGCCACAACGCCTTTGTGTGGGGGGTGTGAACAACTCTAATGCCTTAGAGAAGTCCGTAGGGAGGGACATGCTCGCCACTCTTTTCATCTTTTCCTACATCTATTTTGGCAGCTCTTGTGGTTTCTTGATTAAATGATTAACTGGCCAGCCACGTTAAATGGCACAGGAGTCTTCACACAGATCTGAGAACTGAGCCTAAAGTGGAGAAAACTTGCAATAATAATAATAATAATAGTGATAGTAAGAATAGGATGGAGAGAAAAAGAGGGGAAAAGGGAGGGAGGGAAAGAACACAAAATAAGTTTTGATGATCTTCCCTTTAAGGCTTGAAATGAACTAATGAAATGATCTTGTTAAAATGTCAGTAATAGCTAATCAGTCATGGCAATTAACAGAGCTTTTAACTCTAAATTCAAACTCATTTGGCAACTTGTATCTTCACTTGACCAGTACTGAAAGTAACTTGTGCCTGCCTTAGTGGCTCTGTGACATATTCTGACAGAAGTGTGCCTTCTTATCCCAGCGTCCTGGTGTAGGTGTCTCTTCCCTGGCCTGCCTCTGACAATGCCACGCAGGGGCTACTGTCAGAAACAGCTGCCTTACGACAGGTGTTACCTACAGCCACGTGTATAGAAGAAGGTTTTAGCTCAGAACTTTTGAAGCAGAACAGATGTATACACTAAAGTTCAGATATCATCTCCAGCATTTCTTCATGAAAGAAAGATGGTCACTAATGCCTCAGGGAGATTTTGGCCTATCTTTCTCTGTTGCCTAGTTTCGTGGACTCTCTGCTTCTGCCGTGCTGCTCCTATCTCAGGCTTGTCTGAACTGGGCCCACTTGCTCATGTGGAGTATTGTGATTTCTCATATATAATTTCCAACATTCAGGTTTCAATATAGCAGTCTGTTAGGACCGGGGAGATGGCTCAGTGGATTAAGTGCTTCCCTGGCAAGCGCAAGGGCTTGAGTTCAATCTCCAGTTCCACAAAAATAAATAAATAAATAAATAAATAAATAAATAAATAAATACAGTCTATTTATGAAGGCTTTATTTTATTTTTTTCCATAATTTTATTGACAGACAAACAGCAATGAGAGAGTTTCAAATCAAATTGGTAGGACAGTTTCAATAATTAACATATTGCATACTGTCTTCCTAGTGGTTATTTGCTGTACAAGATGCAGACATGATATCCTATTTACAAACACTATTAGAACAAATCCCTCTATTCATTAAGAGAATGTAGCTATATATCTATCCTAACCATTTTGAATACACAGATACAAAATGGACATTCATTTATATATCCCCTTTTTTGTTTAGTTCTGTCATTTGAATATTATAAACATGTTAACTCAGCAAAATATTCTAAAAGAATCCAGTAATCCATAATAGTATTGGGTCTTCCGCTTGACTGGCAATGTCAGAAATTGTTGACCTGAGTCCCCCACAGCTCAACATAACAGCATGGCTTTACTTCCTATATTTCGTCTTCATACTTTTCTGCTGGATGGTTAAGACCAAGGTAAAGCAGGACCTATGCAACAAGAGTTGTAGCTTTTGGGTCTGAGAAGGTCAGTGAAATCCCCTCAGGATTTATCCTGAGATCCTGTACCTCAGATTTTAGAACCTTTGTCAGTGTCAACCATGTGGATGAGTCACGGCCATTGCCTGGCCAACGTGCTCTCTGTGAAAGCCTGAGAGAAGGTTTTCTCTCATATGACTCTCCTTAGGCACACTCTACATCATTGATCACTTTCCTCTTTGGCCCCATGATCTCCTTGATCAGAAAATTTGGGACACTACTGAGTTACATGACATTACAGTACAAGTTCTCATATGTCCTGAGTCTGAATTGACCTTGGAAGACTAGGGCCAAAATGTTGGCTTTCCTTGCAGCCCTCCTTTTTCTCTAATTTGAAGGCTTTGTTTTAATTCAGCAGGGCAAATTGAAAATAAAAACAATATTAAGAATAGTATTTACTGAGAATAGATTGTGTCTTCCTATACTGTAGAAGGAACTTTGTGCACTATTTTAAATGTATAAATGACTCAACTAGGTTAGGGTAGGCATTATTTTTGTATATGAAAATGGAATCATTTTTAAATTAAGCTTATTGCTACATTTTGGATATACACAATGATCATATTCACCAGAGGGAATTTGTATGTGTCTATGATGTATTTTGATTCCTCTTTTATTTTCTTCCCTTCAACGCTATTTCCTATTTACAAAGATTTATTTCCATTTCATCCTTTTTTCATCATGTTTTCCTTTTCTTTTCCTTACTTCCACCTTTCCTCCTCCCTAGTTCCTCTTTCTTTTTTAACAATTTCTTCCCATTTTACAACATCATTATGGCTCTTATTTGCTTTTTCAAGAAAACTGAATCTTAAAAACGCTGTGTTGCTCACCACATTCTGAAAACAATGATTTTCCTATCACAACTCACTGCTTCTCTAAATTATTTTCTCTATGTGTCACGGAGGTGTCAAGTGGAGGGGCTTTTTTGGTACCAGAAATGGAACTCACGACCCTGCATGCCGCTGACCTATATCCCGAGCCTCAAATGGAGTTTGTAAAGGCTCAGTCTCCATCCCCCTTTTTTCTTTTTATTTACTCTTAGTGATTCACAGTTCATCAGGTTTCTGTTCTCACGTCCATGCAAATAAACAACTACCCCCACTACCATCAAGTTTTTTCTGTCTTAATCATCCCCTCACTGTAGCCCCTAAGTGTTCTAATGAATATTTGTTAAAACACTGACTTGGGAAAAAAAACACTCCACAGGTCACAGATATCCCAGAAAAGGGGGGATAAGAGGGCTGGAAACAAAATTAAGTTAAATACATTTTTTTCCTGGAGGAAATAAATTGTTTTGAACTTGAATAGTGTCTGAAAAGCCACAGGTTGGGAGACTTGGCATATTGCAGCAAACCAAGTACTGTGCTTCTTCAGTGTGACCCGAGTTTCATTTCTTTTTATTTTTTAAACTTTTATCAGGAAAAATGTGGTTTAATATATTCACCTTACAACTGTAATAATATTTACATAGAGTTCTGGATGGGGAATCTAGGTCTGATTAAGATATAGTAATTATTATATCTGCTTGTCTTACCCCCCCCAAATTATGCCATGTTATGTAAGTATCAATATTAAACTTGTAATGAAAAAGGCCAGTTGTCACATAGGATATTTCTCAGAAGGGACATAAGACTTGAATCTCATCCTTCAACTCAAAGACTCCTGCAAACAGAGCACCAAATAAAAGGTCACAGCATCCCCCTCTCTCTTCCACATGCTCCTAGGCCAGTGTTTGCCCAGTGAGGACTTAGGAGCTGTGCTGAAATCAACACTGAAGGAGTGAGGAAGGAAGGAGGGTGGTGAGAGCAGTCATTAGAGCCTGTGCAGGGCAGGCCACCTTGGCTCAGCAGCAGGGCCGTGTGCGTGAGCAGCCTCCTCAGACCATCAGACACTGTTGCTGGGAGGTAACCCTGATTTACAGCACCCATTTCCCATTGAAAGAACTTCAGAGTACCAACAGGGAATGCAAGAACACTCAATGCTTTTCAGCTGCAGTGAGGCCATGCCATCTCCCCGAGGGTGCTCAGAGTTATGGCAGTGAGATGTACAGTGACTGCGGGGCTTGGGTGGTTTGTGGGTAGAGCAGCTAACACAACCTAGTGTAGAAGACAGTACACACAATGACACACCGTCCAGTCAAGATGCCACTGGCATCCAATGATTGAGTCCAAATTTTTAATTTACATATGAAGAAGAATTTGAATGAATTCTACCAAAGAAGTCCAAAGACAGTTTGTATTTTTGTTTTGTTTTCCTCTCCAGTGCTCCTGAGGCAAGCTTAGTTCCCCTAGGAAAGGATGACCCGGATTTTTTGCTGACATAGCAGGTTCGGCAAACACAAAATCAAAGGTATCACCTTCTATCACCATCTCTCAATTATGACTGTCAGCCTGTATTTCCCAGCCATGGTGATTAACATCACACCTATGGTGTTTTTTTCTGCTTAAAACAAAATTTCAAGAGTAGGTCCTCTCAGCACACAGGGGATGCCTGGACTGAGGCACACACATGTCTCTGCTGCCTGGGCATTCGCGTCAGTCCCTCCCAGATGGTTACTGATACACCCGGAGGTCTACACAGAAAAAGCAGATATTTTTAAAAAATGTTTATGATCACTTGAGGATAATTGCCCATGGGAAGGTAATTTGGGTAGGGGATAGTTATCTTAAGGGAACACTCCTTTAAAGTTAATATTTTGAAATAGTTGAGTCTATTTATTGCTTATTATCAGTATTTGGAGTTCTAAGTGTTCTGCCTATACT